CGCCGCCGCCTGCCGAGAGTATTACTAGTAGTAGCGTCATTTCATTTGAATCCTTGGACAATGTACGTGCGCAAAGACAGCATACCTCGCAAGTGTTTATGGATGTGGAACTGGGGCTTCAACGTACTTTATTGGAACTGCAAGAGTTGCTGAAACAAACGCCCAACGAACCTCGCTTGAAGGGTGCTTTCCCAGTAGCCACCTACAGCGATATCTTGGCTTCGCTACAAAACATCACAGACAAGTTTGCCTCGATGCGTACCGTAGTTCTCAAAGATGCCTGGTACGAGCAAGTGCAGCACGATTTCATCAACCCGGTCAGTCAAGAGAGAAAGGAGATGGTAGGCAATGTCTTGCTCTACTTTTACATTTTAGCCTCGGCCATGCGACTCAAGACGCCCTTGCCGCCGTATTTACCACCTGCACGCAAGGCTTGGGAATCGCTGATTACACGGTTGCGACAGCTCCCTGTGGTTCAGTCCAAACAGCTGCTTGAAAAGGACCATGTCTACCTATTCTACTATGCCTACGTTACTGTCCTGGAAGATATCATTCGAGATTTAGACAAGGCAAGTACTATAACTAGCGTGTGTCTATCATTTGATGAGGTCAATTTTTATTTACAATACTTTTTTTTTGATATACAACAGCTCGGTGCCAATATGACCCTCTTGTTTGGTGCCATTGTACCTGGAGATCAGTGGGAGACGTTGTTTGACGCCAGCACGGGCGACATTGAGCAAAACAGCGCCACCAGTCTATTATACTGATCAAGGAAACACCCCCCCCATTAGTCTGCATTTTGTTCCAATGACACCAGTGCATCCTCTCTTGGTGGCTCTAAATGAAGTGCTGCCATGGCATCAGCCGGTGTCATGGGCTTGATGGGTGTTCCTGGCTCTGTTTTCGGCTCACGCACCACATAATAAATCTGAACATTCTCTTTATCACTGAAGTTTTTATCTGCTTGCACTTGGAAATCAAACTTTTGAAACCAACTGAGGCAATGCTGGCCCCACACTTCAGCGAATACGGGTAATTGTGCCTCGTCTGCCTTGTTGAGTGCGTACTGTAGTAAATGTGTGCCCACATGCTGTCTTCGCTCTGCCGGTAATACGCCAATGAAATTGATGGAGAGATGGTTTCGGCCTGCCATGATCTTCTTTTTCATTTTACTGAGATGTCGATGTTGAATCAATGTCGCTCGCATGGTCGCTAGTCCGCCCAAGCTCCCCCAAAGCCTTCTTTTGCTCATGACATTACCAATCGATAAGACGTCGCTGTGTCCTTCGGACCATAGTAATACGCCTTTACATCCGTTCAACTGGACTGCAAATTCTCTGCTCTCGCTGGCTGCTGTCCTGATCAGCACCTTGAAGATGTCTTGATAGATTTCAAACTTTTTCTTTTGGTCCTTGATAGATCCTGTCACCCAGTTGAGTAGGCTGTTGTCTGCATAAGCTTCACTTAGTGTATAGGCTGCTTCTTTATCGGCCTCTATAAAAAAATGGGTATAAGCGGATGACAAATGTCAAATGTCTGCCATGTGTGTGTGTGTTACTTTTAATGATGGGTCGAATGTTGATGTAAGGTTCTGTGGTGCTGACAGTGAGTCTTCTACTCAGTCTATTCTCTTTTTTTCTATTTGCAATCTCTAGCGTGGTCATGATGTTGAGAGAAAAGAAGCGGAAAGAAGAAGAAAAGGGATTTGCGAAACACAAGGATTTTCGAATCTGGAGAAAATAGTCTTTTTTTGAAACCATATATCCCTATAAAAGAACGCTTTTGAAAGCCAGTGGAAGCAACAGAGAGGGTTCACTGTTGAAGCATATTTAGGCAACGAGCATGATGTTTGTCTGTAAAATGGAATAGCATCCTCTTTTAAATAGGTATTTCATCATTGTTTTTCGATAGTGTTGGCCCTGTTTATCATGACATGTAGTGCAATCTAATAATCTGTTGATGAAATTCATGTGGTACATGAGCTTCTTCGTCTTGTCATGGAGTATACAAGATGAGATTAGGTGACATGAGCTGTTGCTTTGTGTATCTCTTTGACTTGTAATAGCTCTTGGCTACTATATGAATCGAACACACTGTGCTTGAGCTGCTCTTGCTACTAAATAAAGAGCATTATCTGTCAATAATGTCAGCATGAATTTGGATGGGGGGCTCCGTAACGAAGAGATGAATCATCCTTTACTTCAAATGGTAAGCATAAACTGCATGCTATAATCAATAGGATCTGCTGCTATAGCACTATGCATAATTTGGTGACCATATTTCATTCCTTGAAGATGTCTTTGATATGTCCGTCTTGTGCTGGATATACACGACAATCATTACTGAGATTATTCACATCTGGATCCACCTGCTTGCTTGTTTTTTGTGTGAGTCATTTTACCCATATGATGTATCCCTGTCAAATGATGTCGGTAACGTCTATTGATGACAATATTTTATCGCAAGAAAGTATGTCTGCATGAAGAGCAGTAGCTATTGGGATCATCATCAAGATCTGGCTCCAGTTGGTTGCCCTCGCTCAATTGATTGCCTTGTGCTTCCGACGCTACGCCTGATGATCTTACCGTATAATACTGCTTCAGCTTTTGCTAGATTCTCTTATTTGACTTTGAGTTTTGCTATTACCGTTGAGACTATAAACATATTCGTCTTATGCACGCATATGTTTGATATATTGCCATCTTGCGACGGCGTCTCGTATTTGATGTGGTTGCTAACATCTTCTTGCTTGATATTACGGTCAAATGTGTTGGTAGCCATAGCAACAACGTTGGATAATTCAGCAACTGCCAATGTAGTATTGTCATCCTCTTGCTTGATGTTGCCTGCGGTATACTCTTTTTCTGTCTCTTAGATTCATTGTAAATAGAGTCAAGGAAGAAAAAGATACAAGCAACAGCTCTTGATACAATATGGTCTTTTGTAGGCCTCCATTTACCTGATGGAGGCACTAAAACAGTTCTTTATTTCCAATTACTTGGCTTTTTATTATAATTCGTGGACACTACTTGACTTGAACTAATACTGTAAGATGCACATACTTACTGTCACATCATAGTTCAGCAAGAAAGCTAAAGACCAGACTACAAGCCGGCCTCCATATTATGGACGGTCTTGAGATGCAATCCAAAGGCATATTTGTTTGAATATCGATGCTGACACTGTGCACAATTGAGCTCAGGATCATTGACATCAATAGTTGCAGTAGGGTTTGAGATGGTGAAACGGTTCAATACCATACGATGAACACGAATGCAGTGCTCGCGATATTTAGACAATGATTTTTTGGCGGATTTGCATACTTTACAGTAAAAATTGGGATCGAAGGGGTCAGGATGGTCTTTAGAACGTTTCTGAATTGGTATAACGAGACGATGCACTCCTTGTAAGTGTCGTTGATAGACTGATTTTGAGCTGTAACTTTTCTGACACACACGGCAAAAGTTATTGGGGTCATCCGCGTCTGGATTTGTGTCGTCTTTGGTGTACACTTTGCCAATGGAATGCATTGCTGAAATGTGTCTTCTGTATTCGTGGTGTGTGGACAGAGTTTTATCGCAGGAACGGCAATAATTGTTGGGATCATCAATGTCAGGCTCAACCGTGCTGATTTTGGGAGGTGGAGGTAGGATGCCGTGAATGCTAAAGAGGTGGGTTTTGAAGTAAGCCCGAGAAAAAAGGGTCTTGTCGCATATGGAGCAGTAGTTATCGGCATTGTTGATGTCTGGTGTCGCTTCTGGGTTGGGAAATGACTTGACAGGTTTAATTTCTGTAGATTTTACATTGTGCATCATCATACAGTGCGTAGCGTATCCATACTTGCTCTTGTAGCTCTGATGGCATAATTTACAGTAATTGTTGGGATCATTGACATCTGGAATGCCTGTTTCTCTTTTGGGTGCTTTGACGCCATGAATGGTATTACAATGCACCCTATACGAGATTTGAGATTTGTATGTACGCTCACATGATTTGCAGTAGTGATTTGGGTCGTGATAATCGGGTAAAACATCAAGATTCTTTGGAGAGAGCAGTGAGTTTAGCTTCATTTTGTGAAAGCCTCTCAAGTGCTGCCGAAACAGCTTTAGGCTCCTGAAAGTCTTATTGCATGAACTACAATAAAAATTGGGATCGTTGACGTCTGGCTGAAGCTGACTTTGACGGATACATCTCTTCTTGGCTGGCCTCCCCATCTTGACGCTCAGAATTCTACGTGGTCTTGAGGCGACATCTGTATGCATGTGGACAACAGTGAGTACTTTTTGGTCAGGATATGCTCATGATTTTACCCTTCAGTACGAGTTGAGGGTTTGTTGTCTCTTCTTGTTTGACGTTGGTCTCAAGGTTATCGTTAGTATCAGACTCATCCAGTTCATCGAATGCGTCTTGGCTCGTGCCACATGTGCCCTTTTCCTCTATTTCCTCACATTTAACGTGTTGAATGAGCAGTTCCAGCTTGGAAAGGGGAATAGAGCTGTCGATATTTTGCTGGGCCTGGTCATTAATTTCGTCGTAAAGTTGCTTCATCGAGTCATCAATCTTGTTCATGGTTGAGCGATGCAAGTGACAATTCTAGTATTTTCTTTACGTGTAAAAGAAAAGGAATCAAAATTATTTGTGGCAACACATTTTTATACATATGATATAAACAAATAAGCCATTTTGCCCCTCTATAGATGGAACAGACATGTCAATGCTCGTTTTTGTAGACTATATGCTACATCTCTTTCTTTACTTCTAAATTCTTTACTTCTAAATTCTTTACTTCTAAATTCTTTACTTACAGGAAAACTATAAATCTGTCTAGTTCAGTCAACTACACTTTATCTCTTCTTTATTAAACTATACGTACGCTTTACTACACTTGCAGCCTTACTCGACCTGCAGTAAAGCGCTTTACGATACGCATGCCTAAACAAGCACCAAAACGTCTCACGAAAATAATCAGCAAAAATTCAATATTGACGCAAAACATAAGCTTCATACGGGGCTCGAACCCGTGACATTCAGATTAAAAGTCTGACGCTCTACCAACTGAGCTAATGAAGCCTTTTACGTAGTGTCAGATGCAAATACGTAACTTTAGTATTGGCAATCTGAGATCTGATCGAGATATAGTTTGTTGTGAGATAGAGTGTGTGCAGGAAGATGTATGTAGCCTTTTAGTTAAATGGATAAAAAGGTGTCTTTATTATTATTATGATTTAGGATTGACTTTATCCAATATACTTTGTGTAATGTTATGGACAATCCATGTTAAGCGCTGTTTGATATTTCTAGATATCGGCGCTCTTGGCTTGAACCTACGTTTCTTGTTCTTATTAGTATTCAACCTGTCAATGATATCCTGCAGATCAAGATCACTGTCTGAATACCCTTCAGTACTGACAGTAGAATTTTTACTTTTTGGTTTGATTTGTTTGTACAAAATGTTTTTTTTTTTTTTTTTTTTTTTTTTTTAAATTAATTAAAGAGAAGGTAATAGCAAGTTATGTGCAAGGTATATTGAGCGTATGATAAAAGCAATATGAATCAGTAGTGGGGCACGCAGAATCAGATCTCCTCCTCAGAATCACTGGATTCATGTTCATAGGGGTCCATCCAAACTTCCTTCTTAAAGAACGAGTTCATCTTTACGGCCTTTTTTTGGTTATAGCGATGAAGACTCCTCTTGGTTCTGCATTTGATGGTAAGCAGAGTGTTTGTAGTAAGGCAGACGTCCTTGATTATAAAAAGCTTGGCGATGAATTTAGCTATGTTGTGTTTCTTGATGTCATCAATGCTCGTTGGCAAGTCCACGTCCGCTAATTTTTGGATAGCACACCACTCTCTTGTTGAATTTGTATTAATAAGTCAAGTGGAACGATATGAGTAATCAGTTGTCAACTGTATCTAAACGAAAGCAAAGAGACTTTTTTATTACAGGGCATCTCTTGATTGACATTGAGTGGATCCCTGGATATGACTACTACACTGAAGATGAATATCTGGGTGGAACGCGAGATTAATAAGTTCGGGTGTGGAATATCTGATGTAGAGCACACACATGAAGTGATGAGCGTGATGTATACGCATTGAGTGGATCTTGACAGTAGTAAAGAGTTGGAGTATGTTGAGTTGGGTGTTACCAGTGCACAGACGACTATCAACATGCAAACAAACAACATGTCGAGTGGCTAGAGCGAAAGTGAAAGTAACTTGTCTAGGCACACGCTGTGTGTCCACGTGGTTGTGTGTGTGGAGCCAGATGTGCATGTAGTCTTCAGGCACATGCTGGTAAACGTAGGCTTTGCATGCAACATTTCTGTCAATAACACGCAAGAAATAAGCGTCTCCTTCGAGGCCTTGTGTAATGATGAAAGGAACTACCAATTTTTGAGCTGCCTCTAGGTCCATATTACCTTGCTTCACATGCTTCTTGAGATGCGCGAGGGAGACCAAGACTGATTTTCTCTTGTCGAAATACTGTAGTACTTGGACTCCTTGGAGGCTTTAGCAAATTCATTGACCATGATGTCTGGTGAGGGGCGGTTGGTATGGAAAATCCTCAAATCCATTTTTGATTCAGTGTCGCTAAATAGACTGATGGTGTCCCCCCAGGTGAGCTTGAAGCCACTGCCCCTGAATACATTTTCCATGATGGGGCCATACATCTTGACGATCAAGTCGGCTTCTGAGAATGAGCCATTTTCCTCGTAAAGGTACTTATCATACAGCATGGACTCCAGGATCTGGATGTAGACGCGCTTTATAACCTTTTCAACGTTGCTAGCTTCCTCTATGTCTTTTATTACCCTTGCCAAAAACTTATCTTCAATTTCCTCCGTCAAGAACTTTGTTATAATGGCCTCAGGTACTGTACAGCTTCTACAATTAGCCTGATTCTCATTTAACATTTCCCTCGAAATTAATTGCTCAATTGCAACTTGAGCCTGGGGAGGAAACATGTCCATATGAGAGCCTTCGGATGTGTCAGAGACATCAACAATGTTATTCATACCGAGAACCTTGAAGTAACTCCTCTTGTTTGAAGTGGACACATAGCTTCTAGCATATCTTCCAATCATTGTACCCAAAGACTGGCGGTATCCATCAATAAAGAGAGTATCATTGCTCACGTAATTTGACCTGGGCTTCTTTGCAATTCGTTCCTTGTGAACGGTGGGCGTTACCAGAATACCAGCAGCTTTGTCTTTCGACAGTTTGTCTTGCTCTGTACTAGCGATGTATCTCCAATAATTAAGACATGAGGAATTATAGAGACACATATATTCATTTGCTTGTATATTGCGCGCCCATTTCTGACATTCAGCATTCGTGCCATCTCGTGCAATCTCGTCGACTACGATGATATAATCTTCCTCGGCGATACTTTTCGATGCAAATGAATACTCTCCTGTTTTGAAGAACTCTGGTAAGCCGTTGCTGATACCGTGATTTTCAATGAGCCAATCCTTGGCAGCCCAAATAGGTTCTCGTTTTGCTTTTCTCGTTTTCATGCTGGGTATCACCTAATGTAGCCTATATGTATTTCTTTATTCAAGAAGGAAGTTTGGATGGACCCCTATGAACATGAATCTAGTGATTCTGAGGAGGAGATCTGATTCTGCGTGCCCCACTACTGATTCATATTGCTTTTATCATATGCTCAATATACCTTGTACATAACTTGCTATTATCTTCTCTTTACTGAATATATTATACAGCATATTGCCAATCTCAAAACCACAGGAATTTTTACTTTTAAGTTTGTTTTGTTTGTACAACATTTTCTTTTTTTTTTTGTAACTCGAGTTTTGAAATGATGAACGATAAGTATGTTAAATACATCACAGTTTCTAGCATATAAATGAAGTAGTGATGTATCATTTCTAAATTAACCGAATTTGCAAAGGCGAAGAAACACTTCCTTCAAGCACAAGTCATATTAGATCATAACCTTTGAAATAAGCCTGAATCTAGTTATTACAATCCCACCAGTTACGGCATCTTCAAAATCATAGGTTAGATCTATTATTCTATCACCCAGATCAACACATCTAATACTAAGTCATCCTCACATCAGATTCCTCGGTTTGAATAGTAGTACTACTGTACAAAGTTGCGGGTTTCCAACCATTCAAATATTAGAAGAAGCAGATATTTATTCCGAAACTTTTGAGGAAAACGATGTTTTAGATAGATTTTAGAATGGATAAGTTGCGGTTGATGAATGAGTGATTTTCGAGACAGGCAATTTTAAGCACTGATGTAGACAGGATCTTTAAAGAAAGTCGTTAATTACGAGTGTCTGGGAATAACAGACTGATAATAGAAGATGTGTTGCCCGACACTCTATTAAAACCACATGGCGCTTACATGCCTTGTTCTCAAGTGGCACGGGTTGAACACTTTTTACGGCGGTTGACAAAACAGAACAAAGCATGTTTTGAGGTCTTCTCTGATTATTATCATTAGAGACTTCATATGACTATGGTTGTATAACTAATCTGTAGTAGGCGGTCTAAAGCCGTATAAGCTACCTTCGAGTTGTTACCACCTTAGTTGTTAATTAATTAAGCGAGGAAAGTAAAAAACATTGTAGTTTGAGAACCAAACTCTTTTGACACTTATAACTTTGCAACGACTGCTCATCCTGACTTCTTCAATAACGTATTTTGTTACTCTCTTTTTACTGTAATGGTAAAGTCATTCAAAATTATATAAAGGAACATAGCCAATTGTTATACAAGGCTGTTGTTGCCTTCGTTGGCTCCAGTCATAAACGAAACTAGTGAACAAGCCTTTTTGATGAAGAAATATGAATTTGCATAATTTTTAGGACCTGAAATCTGGTTTTCATGTTTGTTTGATACAGTATAACGCTTGCTGGCTGGTTGCTAGGTGATGCAACTGGGCGCTGATTGTTGAGAGAAGCGCTTGCTGTTGGGATTGGTGGTCGGTATGGTTTGACAGAGACGTGGTGATGTTGTTCAAGACCTCCTGATTTCTACGCTGCTCTAGTTTCATCTGTCTGTTCATATCAGCAATCCTCGTCGCCAGATCCTTGTGTGTGTCCACAATGTTGGGAACCAGCTCCTCAAAGTTTTGCAAGCGATCGTAGCTGGTGTCGGCCATTCCATTCAATACATCCCTCTGAAACTCCCAGAACTGACGTGTGTTGAAAGGATGCTGGGGTAAGGACTGGGTTGTACTGCTTGGCGTCATCAATTAATATGGCAGCATCTTTGAGTAAAACACGACGCAATCTGAGCAAAAGCTTCAGGAACCCTCTCTTGGCAACATTGTTGAATGTGTAGACCCTACGCAGCTGTTCTTGACGTTCTTGCTGTTCTTGCGGGGTAAGCTGTACTTCGGCCTGCTTATTCTGACTGCTTCTCTTCTTCTTGCTCTTGACCTTGGCCTTGACCGTGTCACCAAACTTCGTGACCTCCTGAATCAGGGTAAAGCTGTCATTCATCTGTGGTTGCCGCTGTTAGGGGTCCGTGTTCAAGTTGGATGTTTCGTCGATTTCATCCATCTCTTCCCCGCAAGTTCGCTTTCACAAGACATCATCACCCAAAAAGTCTTCGATCCATGGGAACACCATTCGTTGTAGTTCCAATGGCGGCTTGACAGCATTTTTTCTTGGCAGGTAGTAAGGCTTGCCCAAAAACCCAGCGAGACCTCTTGCAAATTGCCAAGGCAGCTTGCCCAAGTAAAATGTTTCCAGTCGGCCCAGATGGTCTTTCCAGCCACCACCACGCTTGATCTCATCGATGCAGACACCCAGACTTTCTGCCTCAATGGTTGCTGAGTGCCGGCCGCTGTGGGTTTTCTTGCTGCTGTAGATGCCGTGCGATTCAAAGATACTCTTGGCACTGTTGATGTTGGCCGTCTTGCTTCTTTCAGGCCTCGGACCTTTTCTTCCAGGCACAACCTTGTACTCGTACCAGTAAGGGCTATTCAGGAATTCTGAGCCATTCTATCATTGAGAAATGAAAGTTAGGAAATGGCTTTCGACGTAGCTTTTTATTACAAACATACTGTATTTATGATTGAGGGATAAA